TGTTGTGCTTTTAACGCTCACGATACGACAACTCAGCTCGCTGAAGACAATGCCCTCCCTGTGTGGCTTATCTGAGCCGTTGCTGAGCAATTGCAAAGAAATACAGAGCGCCCTCTAGTGGCTCTAATCTACACATCTCTATATTAGATACATCGACAAAAATATGGAAGAACAAGTATGTAAAAATATGAAAGTCAAGCAACAATTACTATTTTACCGGTAAAATATATTAAGTGACACTCAAAATATTCACATATACTATGATTTGCCTTTAATAAAAATTTCTAGTCTTTAGGTATATTTAAGCCCGAGAACAAAAATGCAATATATTGCAGCTTATTAGTCCGTAGATGTGGTGGCTGCATTCGTTTTCTTTTCTTCAGACTTTTTTTTTGCAAGCACAGAAAATTACTTTTTGACCTTGGCAGAAATCTTGTGTCCTGTGACTTCTTATGCACTGAACTAAAATATCAAACAGTGTTATTAACCTTCCTCGTTATCTTCTTTAGACTACAAAGCACCTACAGGTGAAGGGGAGGTGCTTTTGGACCAATTTAGGAAAGCAACCTATGGTGACAACACTGCTTCTCCGGAGATAGAGTACAGCAAGCGAGCGTTGTCACCCTAGGACAGGACCTGTGTTACTGGCCAGATTACCAGATAAAAAGAAAAGAAAAAAGCCTTAAAAAAAAAAAGAAAACTAATGCAGCCGCTATATCTAAGGACTGGTGAGCTGCTTACATTTTTGTTTTAGGGTTTAGATACAATTTTATATTTTATAGTTTATTCTGTATATATACTCCAAATATACTCCATTAACAATCTTGGGGACATGTTATGTGGTCAGTTATTGGAATTCTTTTTCAATCTGTCCTAGGCTGGAGTGTGGCTTTAATAAAACAGCAGCGTCCATACCTGGTGAGCCAAGATGTAAATGTTGTGTCCGACACACCTAGGGGACACCTGGTCATCTGTGCTGTGCTCGTCCTGGTCGCACTCCAGTCCCTGGTTATAAGCTGCCTTTATGACATCTACCTGTATAACAAGATGAAGGATTACCAATTACCGATATATCAAAACCTACATACAGTATCTGCCTATGGAGCCCCCTAGGTACACGGCCAATATTCCTTACCAGTTCTCCGGGTCTCATGTTAAACAGGATCCTCTCCGCGTTCTCGCTGTCATGGCGGCTCTCCATGATGGCCAGAAGCAGTTTGGAGGCGTTGTTCTGGAAGTATGAAAGCAAAAAGTAACCCACTTTATGTTATAGTCCTGACAACAATGCTTCACATCAGTCCCCGCCCTCCAGGAGCTTACATGCTGAGGTCCCTATCTAGTAGAATATACAGAGACACCGGCACTCCAAATAGTGAATCAAATGCGTCTGTTTATTGACGTACGAGCAGCATAACGTGATGCACTCAATGCGACGTTTCGGGGTCTCACAGGATCCCCTTCATCAGGCAGAACAAGTGATACAGATGCAAGTGAGAGACATGTATATACACACACCACAGGGAGAAAATCAACCAATCCCAGAGCCCGCTTTGACCTTGTGACATCACTCTTGGACTTTACTCTGAGGTCCCTATCTCACACGCATTAAGGGCCAATTTAGACCAGAGCCAATTAACCTTCCAGCGTGTCTTTGGAGCGTAGGAAGAAACCGGAGCACCCGGAGGAAACCCAGGCAAGCACAGGGAGGGCATGCAAACTCCTTCAGAAAGTGTCCATTTCTGAGATTTGAAATCGGGACCCCAGTGCTGCAAGGCAGAAGTGCCACTGTATGGGTGGTGGTAGTGGGTTAGAATCCCCGTCAGTTCTTTACTGCCGTTTATGTCTTAATGGAGAGATTCCGCCTCCCGATTCGTCCTGGAGACCATTGTCAATGGAATAGAAAGGAATAAAGTTGTACCGGCTCCTCTTCTGGACTGAAACTGCTGATTCTTATTTTACTGCACACTGTGAGCCTTTCAGAGTGAGCAATAGAAGATGCAGCAAGTCAGATAGAGCCGGTCTCCTTTCCTGGCTGGACGTCCAGCATCTTCTATCCCTTTCTTTCCCAGCCTGACTATCCCTGGCCTGCCCCTGTCACTTATTAAGTTCTTCATAATAATGAAGGATTAGCATCATATTTAGACATTACCTAGCAAAGTCTGCATGCCAATACAGTCTGCCTAGCAACAACCACTCATCTGGACTGACATCCACTCATCAACGCATATTGAGTTTGCATAACTCCTCCTAAGAGCCAGCCAACTGCTTACATCAGGGCTCAGGAAGCTATGTACAGCACCCTGTCGCCCCCTCCTATCAGCCATGATCTGCCTGCATTCCATAGAGAAGCACAGAGCCCCACTGATGACATCACTGAGGTATGTAAAGAAAATAGAAATGTTTTATTTAAAAATGTCATTAGCATGTTGATGAAAGGGGAAAGGAGGAACCAGGGAAGGCTCATTATAAGCAGATTAAACTTCAGCTTAGAGATGCCACTGGAACAGTAACAGAGGGAAATCTTATCCCTTTGGGGACCCCTGTTGCAGTGAGAACTGTCACTTTGGATAGATTTCCATTTTACTTCCTGTTGTGTCTACAGGACAAATCTCTCCAATGGGACACTGATGGGGGTTTTAACCATTCTGTACCTCCATACCCTTTAACAAATGTGGAGTGACACTTTAAAGTACAAAGGCCTTCCTCACCCTTCCCAGAACTTGTCCATACTCATGGAAGGTTCTATACAAAGCAGGAGCTCTGCTGCTCTACCGGAATCTCCTGATCTGAGATCTTCATTTGTATTCACATTTAGTGATTTGGAGGGAAAGGGTAGACATTTGCTATTATTTTTAACTCCTATCCCCTAGGTAACGACATGTCTCAGCTCAATATACTGAAAATCAGGCACTATAGCTGAACTCTGGGCAAACAGCTTAATACATAGATTCAATGGGGGGGATTTATCAAAACTGGAGCAGACAGAATCTGGAGCAGCTGTGCATGGCAACCAATCAGCTTCTCTCTTCAGTTTGTTCAGTTAAGATTTTAAAATGAAAGAGAGAAGCTGATTGGTTGTCATGCACAGCTGCTCCAGATTCTGTCTGCTCCAGTTTTGATAAATTCCCCCCAAAATGTTTATAGGAGCGATGTTACCCACCAAACGAAGCCGAAGCCATGCAGTTGCACATAATACGGTAACGTTCGGTACCTTTAATTGCAGCACCAGGTCCATGCGGTACTTCCCCAGCGGGTTGATGTCATTCAGAATTAAGGCAATGATGATGTCGATCCCGTTGGACTCGTGAGTCGCTATACATGTCTGCAAAACACAAAATGTACGATTCCCATTTATAACAACCACATTAAAAATACTGCATGCATTCAGGTAAAACAAAGTGGATTGTGCGTCCCTCTGGAATCTAACTGCCATTTACATGCGCACAACTTAGAATTTCTGCCCTTGTGTGTGGCTTCGCCTCCGCCACTTTCACGATGAAGCAGCGGCTTCTCTGCTCCATCGAGAGCCGCACTGGCGGTTTGTTGATATGTTGAATGCATTGGGGCCACCCCCGCACTGTAAGGGTTAACTGCTTGTTTTAGCCCTCATTCACACGAGTATCAGCCGGCCCGTCCAGATCCGTGCGGCATGCACAGCCGTATCAGGCCGCTCCCGGCAAGGACAGGTGCTGCATGTGATTAGTACGCAGCAGCCTGTTCTTCTCTATGGGAGTACGCCGCCCTACACTAACCCGACCTGCACGCCTGTATGGGTGCGGGTGTCCCTGCTCGGACACAGGCAGGATCCATCCTGTCTGCGTCCGAGTATGGACACCGCACCGACGTGCAGTGCGGGTGAGTGTACAGCCGCGTACTCCATAGAGAAGAACAGGCTGCTGCATACTAATCACATGCAGCACCTGTCCTTCCCGGGAGCGGCCTGATACGGCTGTGCATGCCGCACGGATCTGGACGGGCCGGCTGATACTCGTGTGAATGAGGGCTTCATCCAGGGATTAAAGTAAAAAAGTTATACTTACCCGATTGTCTGAGCCGGCCGGCTGTCAGAGTGCTCCCTCCAGCCTCTCTCCTCCTACCCTCCAGCGTGCTGGATGTGATGCCTCGAGGATCCTTAGGCTGCTGCAGCAGAGGGGGAACGAGGCTGGAAGGACCGGTCTAAGAGCACGCCAGCGCCAATGATCAGGTGAGTATAACTTTTTTGTATCTTAGTCTCTAGATGAAAATGAGCAGTTAACCCTCGCAGTGCAGGGGTAGCCCCACTGCAAGGGTTAATAACATTTTGCCCAGAGTTCTGCTTTAGTCATAAAGAGCACCTCCCGTGTGCTGCGTACCTGATTCTCATGACAGGGCCCTTGGCAATACTCCGTTAAGCTCTCCAGCGTTTGGTTCACCAGGGCCACGTTGCGTTCATTGATGTACAGCCCGAGCAGACCCAGACCGCCTGTTGTACTCCCGCAAATGCAGTCCAAGAACTGGAGCGTCTCGCACACCAGGTTGTAGTTGGTCTTGTTGTTTTGGTTCCTCAAAAAGTTCTGGAAGAGAAGGGCAGCTGAAAGTCAGTAGGTGTAATCTACCTTAAAGGAGGACTCTGCAAGGCTCATATTCATAAGATGAATTGTAATTCCCCATCAGCCCCCAGTGCCTGAAGCATGTTAAGATGGCAGCACTGCTTTTTATATGAGACAGTCATAGTTATACTGTTAGTATTTAAAGCAAACCCCCTCCAAAGACCAGACCAGGAGGTCAGAAGGGAGGCCTCCAACCATGGTGAGGAGCCGGCTTAGGGGTGACAATGATTAGATGGGCTTCTGAGCAGGTTTGTGGGGTACAGGGGAAGGCTCTATGTTGGGTTAATAGTCTGACGTGCTTCTGAGGGGTTGATTGGCCTTGGTCCAATGGGGTGAGGGTTGGGGAACCCCCCCAAAAAAATCTTGCACCAGGGACCTTTGTTCCTTAGGTTCGCCACTGGGCTGAGATGTGAGATGATGTCATCAGTCTGCTGCAGGCAGGAGGAAGCATTTCCTGAGTCTCCTCTCCCCCCACTAATCAGACTGCAACATTGTAACTGCGTAGCAAGTCTTCAAGGTGAGAGGCTGCAGCAGGGACTGATCTGTGTCAGACATTTGTGAACACAGCTAAGAACTGCACAGGCAGCAGGATTTACACAACTGTGCCATCACTGAGCCGGCATCTCAGTCCAAGAAGTAGATGGATAACCCTGAATGATGGAGAAATTGTCAGGTCGGCACTGGTTCCACTTTAAGTGTGCACAGGCATCATGTCTTCCTTACCTGCAGGCCAAGGTTATGGTTCTCACACAGCAGCTGGAGGAACCTCATGATTGGCTGCATGATGGCTATGACGGGGCTCATGGTGACCGACTCCTCTGCCGCCTTCTCCTCACCTCCTCCGTTATCTCCCCCAGAGCCCATCATGTCCATGTCTGGATCTATGGCTTTGCGGTACATGCAGTACGCCTTGGACGTCGCTGTGGAGGCCTCAGCCAGCTGTCCCTTCATCCCGTCTTTAAGATGAAGCTGAGAATCCCGCACTGAAAATAAAACAACAAGCCATGGGATCATTCAATCTGAGCTCCGGCCTTCCCCCCAGTACTGTCCAGTTGTACCGGCTCCTCTCCTGGTCTGACATGGCTGACTCTGATATCACTGCACACTGCGAGCTTCTCATAATGTGCATTACAAGCTGCAAGTCAGATAGAGCCGCCTCATTTCCTGGCTGTAGGACGTCCAGCATCATCTAGCTCTTTACTCCCCAGCTTGACTGTCCCTGGCCCGCCCCGCTCATTCAGTTCTTTCAATCATGACGGCTCCGCATCACACGTGGGCATTACCTAGGCAGCGGTCTGAATACAAATACAGTCTGTATAGGAACGCCCACTGCTGTAGACTGATATCCACCCATCAAGACATGATATTGATATTTGCATAACTCCTCCCAAGAGCCAGCCCACTGCTTGCATTAGGACTGAGGGCTCTTGAGAGGAGGACTTAGTACTGTGATGTTTTCAGGAAGCCATGTACAGCACCCTGCCGACCCCTCCCACTAGCCATGATCTGCCTACATTACATAGAAAATACAGGGACCCAGTGATGACATCATTGGGCCCATAATAAGGTATGTAACGAAAAGTAAAAATGTCATCAGCGTGTTGGAGGAACCAGGGGAGGCAAAATATAAACAGAATGAACATCTTTAAACAATTCCAGGACGTCACGAATAATCTTTATTGTTCTGTTCCAGAATCATTACTCTGTAAAACTTCCGTCTCTCCAAAAGTTCAATGACCATTTCCTTCCTTTCCCCCACCGACGCTAAATGTTTATGGTAATGACTGCCACATAATGAGCTGAGACAACACGAGGAGATCGAACCTGCGGAGGAGTCACCTGCGCGGCGCTGGGAGGAGAGAGAACCTAGAATAATGCTTCCTATAGCTTCCTACAAACGTCAGTTTTATCACCGTTTGTCTGGGCTGCGGCACGTCACATCGATCCGTCACCGCAAAGCAATATGCGCTGCTGCAACACGCAGACGGCATCGTCCGGATTTATTACCCAGCAACTTTTGGGGAAAATTAAGTGACGAGGTTAAAAATAGTTATTTCACTGAGGATTTCACATGTGCAAACCTACAAAACTCATCGAACCCCAAGACGGGAGCCATTCACACCGTATAGCGTGCGCTATCACACAACGCACCCAGCAGTACCGTGTGCTCAGAATGTTCTCAGATTGAAAAAGTAAAACCAACGCAGCCACCTCGTCTGAGGACTGGTAAGACACGACATTGCTCTTGGGTTTAGATCTCCTCTAATGTCAAACACCTTCACACTGGAAAACGCATGCCTTTCCGCACAAGTCTGGGGGGCCCTCTTCAGATAGAGACACTTCAAGGCGTGTTGGATTGTTGGTCCCCCTCAATGCTCACTGGTTCCTCCTGCAGCCACCTGGATAAAGTAGTGACATAGAGGTTAGTGGGAGAAACCACTGAGCATAGGGGGGCGGGGGGGACAACCCAAAACTCTCAGAAGTGTCGGCATGTGAAGTTTCTTCAGCAGATGTTTGATCTTCTATCCTGCAGAGATCCGCGGTGGAGCAGCAGTAAAGGTGAGTGTCTAAGTTCCTCTATGCAGAGGCAGCTTTATTTCTGGCAATCATTTTAGGGACAGAGCCGCTTTAAAGAGACCCTGTCACCAGACCATTTATTTCAACAATGTATTTCTTCATGTTATTTACCTGTAAAAGCCTCCCTTGTGTAGACATCTAAAAACCCAGAGACTGCTCCTGGGCACCGCCATCTTAGGTGATGTCAGCAGTCCCAGCATAGCTGTCACTCAAGTGACTATAGTATTCCCCTTCGTCCCTCCTCTGGCAGCAACATACAGGTTGTGTAGGGAAGTGAGAGGCAGAGGAGCTGGGGCAGCATAGACATTAATTTGATACTCCAAGAAGAGGAAAGGGCTGTAAAGTGTAGGAAGGAGGGGGCTGTACTACGGAACTGACTCTTCCTAGAATAGACAACATTTCTATCAAGTTCAAAAGCACATTGCAAAGAAATTAAAAAAAATAATACTTGTGCTTATAATATATAATTAAAATCATTTTGTTGTGCTTTCAGCTGCAATTTTCTAAGCTGGAGACAGCCGCAAGGGGGTGCAGCCCGCACTGGGTGACACCATCAAAAGTGGTGACACCAAAATGATTGGCAGTCATTTAGGCATCACTGACTCTTAAATGTCGGGCACTCATTCATGGCCTGAGAGCCTGGCAGCGCCACCAGAGAGGGGGGGGGGGACCCAGCGGCATACCTGATCCCGCCGGGTCATTATCTCATCCTCTTTGCTGGCGTCCATCACCAAGATGGCCGTCGGCAGTGAAGTACATCACCGCACATGGGTGATGATGTCACACCACGGACGTCATTGCCGCACTGGGTGACACCCACCCTGGTGCCGCCGCCGGTGACAGGGTCTCTTTAAAAGACAAGAGCCTCCCTCTCTACCCGTCCCCAGTACTCTTTTCTCCACATTACCTCTCTTCTTGGGTAAGGACGTGGACTCGTACTCGTCATCCTTCTTCTTGGTGCCCAGGTCGATGGTGTTGACGGTCACAGTGGCGCGGATCTCTTGCTGGGCAGCTTTCATCCTGTCGTACAGAACCTTGAAAAACTTCTCGGATTTTTTCTGTGCGTTTAGTTGGTGGTAGAAGGAACTCTGTGGGAAAATGACCGCACATTGTTGTATCAAATTGGAATAGATAGCCAAGGTAGAAAGCAACTGAGAGGGACTTGGCTGTTCCGTCTGGCAGTGGTACCTTGGATTACAATGCTTGCTGAACAGAATTACAAATCCTTTGGCAAGCCCCTCCCGTAAAGGTAATTTAATAGTGTTTTGTGTAACTGTTTTCAATAAAGTGGGAAATGGGGAGATTTATATTCACTTCCTGTGCCAGTGGCAACATTGCCAACAGGACAGTGAGGGAAGTGAGGGAAATCTTTAACAGGAACACGGTGTGAAATGAAAAGCAGATGGAGGTTGTAACCTTCTACTTTTGTTGTGATGTGTCCTCCTCGAAGATTGCATCTGACTTCTTGTCCTGGTGTCACTGGCACAGGAAGTGGGGGAAATTCCCCGCAATGGGGTCTCAAAGAGCAGTACAAATTGGGGACACACATTAAATTTAGAAAGTTCCCTTTAACTTATGTTACCTTTGCCAGTTTTAATCGATAGGCTCCATTCCAAATAAAAGAATGAAGTTGGGTTGGAGTGCTCCTAGGAGGCCCTACACAACAAATTCATCTATTGACCTTTCACCTGTTCATTTTAAGATCTGGAATATTTCCCAAGGCCTAAAATGATTGCGGTTTCCAGATCTGAACCGGGGAGGCAAAACGACGCTACAATACAGGGGTAGGCAAACCCCGATCTTCCAGCTTGGGTACAACTACAAGTCCCATGAGGCATTACAAGTCTCTGACCGCCACAGGCATGACTCCCACAGGCAGATGCATGATGGGATTTGGAGTATCACCACAGCTGAAGTGTCGGAGTTTACCTGCCCCCGCTATAATATATCGGCCGCCATATTGGAAAGCGGGCGGCCTATAGGGGCAGGCGGTCACACGGGGCGCGTTGTTCTTACCTGTATTTGGGTGTTTCCACCCTCCAGCAACGCAATTCCGAGTAAGATTCCTTCGGAAAATATCCGATCGTTCTTGGTGCTGACGATGACGTCTATGACCAGTTCCGAGGCTCCCTCCTTGTCAAGAAGACACTGAATTTCCATCATGGTAGCCCCCAACTTCCTGTCGCTGTCCTGGATGGAGAAGGCTATGAAGAAGTAAACAGAAGCGGCTTGAGATCCTCCGTCCTCTCTATACCTGGCCCTACACTGTGGAATATACTTGCCAATAGTAAAGTATATATTTTATAAATAGTATGTAGGTGGTCAGTACTTCTGACCTGCAGTACTGGGGTCCTGGGTTCAAAGACACGGTGGTCGGTTCATTGGCTCCTGTCCAAAGCTGACCATATGCTGCTCATAATTTGTACATTTATTACAGGTATTTATATAGCACTGACAGTGTATGCAGCGCTGTACGCACTGCACATGTCCCTGCCCACAAGGAGCTTACAATCTACGGTCCCTCTTGCACATGCATACATGGCTGATTTAGACAGGAGCCAATTAACCTTCCAGCATGTCTTTGGAGTGTGGGAGGAAACCGGAGTACACAGAGGAAACCTACACAAGCACTGGGATTTGAACCGGGGACCCCCAGTGCTGCAAGGCAAAATCACTAAGCCATTGTAATGCACGGCCAATTTCTGTTCTACTGAGCCGACCTGTGACTGTCTCATTGTCACAGGTCGGCTAGAACTAGGAGGTGAGTGAAAAGCACTCACCTCATAGTTCTCCTTTAAAGCTGCGGGTAACTCTGTGAGCACCACCCAGCTGATCAAAAGTCATCAGCACTGATAACATGGATGGGGGATCAATTCATTTCTCCCATTCAGCCTCATCCTAGCTAGGTGTATGGCCTAGTACAGGGATGGCCAAACTGCGACCCCCCCCCCCCCCCCCCCCCCCCCCCGCACCCGCTCGCAGAT